TGGTGTGTGTTTTCGATCAGCTCTCAAACAAACTGCCCCTTAAAAACCCTGAAAGCACATTAAAGAGAAGCATGTACCTCCTAGTAGTTGGTCCATGCTGCCAGTGTTTCCTCGGCCTGTCTGCTCTCTGGATGCCTGCAACGGAAAAGACAGATGTAGAAAACCAACATAAGGCAAAGAGATAAAAACACATGCAGTCCTTTGATGCTCACATGTTTCACCTGGTAGAGCCAACAGCCTGGAAGCTAAAGCCCGACCATCAGAAAGATCAAAGCGGAGAGAGACCGAGGAAATGCAAAGGTAAGAGAATCACAGAGGTCAAGAGCGGCGTAGTGTTTGTGCAGTCCAAACCACTTTAATCCCCTTATGAGCTCAGTGTCTGAGACAAGACACCCCGTCTGTCCTCAGCCACCAGCCAGAAAACAAACCGATCACCTCTCTGCTGCAGGGCAGAAAAGAACACCTGCTGCTTTGTAACAAAGGAGCATCTGCCCAGAACGTGGGGAATTCCCCAGTCGGACATCTCCCCCAAACTTCAGGGCACAAAATCATCCGTCTCGTGCCATTTAAGGTACGGCTTACGCAACGGGACAAACAGCGGCGCAGCACATTTAGCCTTTAGGCTGCAGGGGCCACGGGGAGGATTTTGGCTTCGGCCCGAGTCCTGACAGGCTCGGAGCGTCTGCAGGCTTCGGCAAGTCGAGCTCAGGAACATTTCACAACAAAGCTGAGGCAGAGTGGCCTTACATCATGGAAAAAACTGGATGAAAGTATGTTTCAGACAAGTTAAACCTCATTTGTGTAACACATCTTCTTATCTTCTCAAAAAAATAAATGCATGAAGGTGAAAGAAGACTTTATTTAACAAGCGTTCAAACCTCCAACGAGCATTATCTGTACATCTTATCTGTTATGTGCCACAGAGTCAGCGAGTAGGAACTGTACGTATTTTGAAAAGACAAGAACAAGTTTTCAGTTAGACTGACCGTGAGCCTGTGTTTGTGTAAAGATGTTTTAGAACAAAGTGCTAAACTCCTGATATGACAGATGCGTTCCTTAAACTACACACTGGAGAGTTTTTGGTCTTCAAAGACTTTTTATATGTTGGTGCAGCGTCTGCAGTGATCTGTTTTGGCGAAGAGAGCTGAACGTGGAAGCGACGCTTCGAGTTACCAGTCGATCTCTTTCCCACCATCTATGGCCTCAAACTGGGTGTAGAAGGAAAGATCGCTGACAAGTGGTGGAAATGATCTTTCTTAGAAGGTCGTCTGGGTTCAGTCTTAGAGATAAGGTGAAGAGCTCAGTCGTTCAGGAAGGCTTAGTTACGCTGCTACTCCTCCACACTGAAATGAGGCTCAGGTGATTCTCATTCTCATTAGGAT